GCAAAGGATGGCTGCTCCTTTGTACGCTGTACAGATGTGCTTCTCTTTCAGAAGGGGAATCCCTACATCAGATGGATGCAAATACAGCAGAATGGTTACTAAGACTACGAGAAATGATCTAGCCTGGCACAAATATATACTGTTGACCAGTGGGTGTTTTCTCAAAAGAAAGACATTGTTTATAAAAAGGTTTTGTAAGCCATATATACTTCTATTGTCACATGACAAAGCAAAGCACTGCCCATATGTGGCGAAATCCTTGGAGTAAAACTGAGTCACTGTCAGTACAATGGTTGACATCAACATATTCTTTTGAGCTGCTAACAAAAGCGGCTTCATTTGACATGATTCAGTCACACATCTGGATAGATCCTGTAATGTTTTCTAGAACCTCATCTCCGAGATGTTCTGCTCTAGTGTCAGATATAGCATTGAATGTCAGACACCATCCTAAATATTAGACAATTGAGATCATCAGAAACATTTCAGAATTCGATGACTGACATCACAGAGTTTTGGGGCCTCTTGTTACCGCCTATTTTTATCATGGCAATGTGATGACAATGTGTCTGATGTCCCAGTGAATTACTGCTCTGAGTAGACAATGTTTAACGGCGCATATGCAAAGAAAGGTTAGGTATTAAAGCGCTTGGCTAAAGCAGTTTCCATTAACAGGCTTTTATGACATTTATGTTGAAGAATAGAAATACAGTCCATACATGCATAGGTGTGGCTCTATTTGACAGATAAGTGACCAAGACTAGTGCCCTTGTCAGTCCCTCGGAATCCTGCCTATGACTGTCACTCGATTCCCTAGTTTGTTTTTATCAGACTGAACAACTGCCAGTAGAAATGAATAGACAAGTGTTTGGTGAAGACAGGAAGTCAAACCCATCTAGGTTTTATGTTTCCTGAATTTGTATGGAGCTCTACTGTAAATGGGTTGGGTCCCCTCTCTGTACAGTACAGGGGTCAGAACGACGATAATAACGGTAGGAGCTCACGGTATTACAGTTACCTCTCACACGTTCCTATTTATTTAGCAGTAATCCAGCGCCCTGTCAACGGAGTCTTGTGTCGCTTAGTTGAAAGGATCGCTCTCTAAAAGCGTAAGAGATAATTACCGAGTAAGACTCCCGCATTTTCCCAGTCGGGAGTGGTCAGTCAAGTGGTTTTGACTCTTTTAAAGGATGCCATTTGGCTGCAAATGCTTTGAAAGCCAGTAAGGTCACATGTGGGTGTGACGTCCCTTTGGCAGCCTACACTGTTCAGGCTTATTTTAAAGTGGACCTATTCTGCTGTTAAAGTATTTAAATATACTGTTTTCTGAATTTTAATAAGTATCACTCACAAACAGTATATATGTTCTGAAAACTGCAATGCACGAAAGAAAAACTTCTGTTTCCCCTCTGAATGACTGTTTCATTAATACATTCTTCTTTTGTTAAAGGATGAGTAAGTGGATATTTTCCCTACCGAGAGAAGAAAAACGCATGAAAAAAGAGAAATCTCCAATCTAATGGGGCATCTGTTTTGCCCACGTAATTACCGCACCAGGAACTACATTTCATGAGTTACACTCGGGTACGCTACCAGTCAAAGGTTTTTGCAAACACTGAGGTTTTCTACATTTGCATGTTACTCACTAAACATTTACTAAAAAGACACTCAATATTCTTCGCTAACAAATACATTTACAGCATGTTCACACTTGGATACCTTTATTAGCAAGAAAATGTTATATCTTTGATTCATCAAAGTAACCTCCTCTAGCAATTATAACAGCAGAGAAAATTCAAGTCATTCTTTCAGCAAGGAACATTAAATACTGCTGTTTTATTAGATGAAACACTTAATTAGCGCATTTAAAGTTAAAGGACAGTCTAGAATGTGACTCTGCCATCACCACATAACCAGTTAATAGGATGTCAGACATGCACTGTTACATATTCTTTCCAGGCTATAAATGAAACTTCTTTTATTTTACTTATGTTTTCATTTATAGGTGTGCACTCAACTTTCCAGTGCGAAACAAGAATGAAAATCTGCAGTTTTTGAAATAAATGGAAAAGTGGTAATAACCTGTGGTGTGTGAAAACTTTTGACTGGTAGTGTAGGTTCAAACAGAATATGACATAAAAAAAAAACGCCTAAACTGGCAACAGCTCATGACCATTGAGACATCCTGCAATATAATCCGTGAAATTTCACACAAAACCTCCAAATTGCTCCATTGTTGCAAAAAAAAAATATGCTTAGACCACCAGCATTGGATGACTTTTCAGTATTCTGCCTCAAATTAATCCGACTTAGCATCTTCTTTATTAGAGGACAGGGGTGATAACTAAAGACAAAGAAAAACAATTCTGCCAGTCCCAGCTGGCTGATATCAGGCAATGAACCAAATTTTTGTTTTTGGACTATCCACCAATTTGTCAGCTGTAATGCACAGTGGGTCACAGTGTTACTGACATACTAAACCAGACAGACACACTTTACAATCATGTGTACGATGAGAGGAATTTGCCATCTGTTAGACATTTGCCAGCAGTGACATTTGCTCTATGTATGCTTTCTATGGCGGTGAAGAGTATTTGAAAGAACAATCCGGAGAATATACTTTTATTTTATACTTTTCAATAAGGATTTCACAAGTTTAAAGTGATCTCTATCCAAACCACCTTTGAACACTTTGTTTACCTTTCAGCTACGAGCCAGTTTTATATTTTACAGTAGGCAATGGCATGTATATTTATCTATATGTAGAAGACCAAAGGTGATGTAACTTTTGAACCGTTATCAATAATGGTGATTTCGAAATAAAAAAATATAAAATTTATCTGCTGCAGTTAGAAATGCCAAAAGACTGCTCATGTTCTGTTCCTTATTTCATGACTTGTGAGGATTGGAACGATCGAAATGAAATGCAAGCAATAATATGTCAGAAATTATTTTATGCTCTGAGAAAAAAGTTCCCTGCAACCTCATCTGAGATGGCGAGTGAGGAACGCCATGTTCCCCCTAAGGAGGGATCTCATTCCTTTTGAATACATTCCAGTCCGCTGCTGTGATACTTTAAACAGAAATGCTGGACAGTTTCCAAATGGGCCAAACAGCACCCTCAAATTAAAGTCCTAGTGCCAAAATTCAGCTGTGATTTTGTGGAATGATGTACCGTTTACTTTGAACAGTGTTTTACAACGGTATAAAAGTAACAATATACAAGCCGAAATATCACAATTACACTGAGTTTTAATTTGTGGAATAAATTAAAGATGAATGTATTTCACAACAATATTAATTCCATCAGAATACATTTGCAAACATGATTACAGTTATGTGCAGGCAAATCACTGGGCTTGGCCAATCAGGGCTGAAGGTCGAAAGAGCGCTGTATGATTTGTTTAGCTCAGATGTTCTACCAACCATACTCACGATTTGACGATTCCATAATCTTGACAACAGTCCTAGTCTAGGTCAGCATTTCCCAAAACCTTTGTGATGCTACTAGTATTATTTGGGGCCTTATGACACGCTGCATCGTGATGCCCAAATGGGAGAATAGTATTAGCAAAGTAAACAATGTGGGAACTTCAGTCGTGGCGATGCAGACCCCCAGCATTCACAGCTAGACTACAAAACATTCGATTAACACCATCTCAGGGAGAAGGTAATATATGTATTTTGTCTTTATTTAGCTTACGTTTGGATTAAATACTTTTCTACACTGTATATACAGACTACTAAATATTTAATCCCTAAAGTGTGTGATCCATTGCGATTAAAAAAATAATCATTTGACAGCCCTAAACTTTTTCCAGAGCAAATAACTAGTAAAGGCGTCAGTTAGCTAGAGCCTAGATCCAAACAAAACTGGAAAAAAAAAACTAACTAGGTCATCGCAGAAGCATCCTAATGTAGACAGGAGGGTAGGAGAATAAAAGGATAAATAAATCAGATGGCTGGGTGACTAGCAGGCATTGACTATTGACTAACCCCTGTTACTCTGTGGTGCTCTGAATGAGTAAACTGATTATGGAAATTAATAAATGATATATGGGAAACAACTTTTACATGGCCTTCAGTTACACATTATGCTTGAAAATTACATTATGGGCTAGCAAAAATTTATCTGGCCTAGTAACTTTTTAACTGAACTGCTCAGTTGGTTACGGTGCAAAAAAATAGTCAACTAGCTGGTTAAATTTTCTAGTGAATAATGTTTCTGTGCCAGGCGCATTGCGAGAGATTTTGGGCCCCATGATGCCATATCATACTGGGCCCCCCAGTCCAGACCAATCCAGTTATTTTCCAAATTTTGTCATTCAGGGGCTCTTAGAATCATCCAAACTCCCCCCTCCTCTTATAGCACCCCTGTTCTGTGCTAACACTAGTTTCTATTCATTTGTTAAGTGTAAAAACCAGTAAGCGCAGTAAGCGGTGCAAGAAACATGAATCACTGAGCCCCTCGTCCAGGCAAATTTTATGGTTGAGGACGCCTTCCCCCCAGTCTCTGCCCTAAGCCCTTAATGTCCTCAGATCCTAGCGCCGACCCTATGGAACATATCGAATATAGGACAATTTTTAGCTAGCCAACATTAATCTTGCTTTGTGAAATAAATTTTGAAACTAAACATCCTGCCTGATGCAAAATCAGATTTTAGAAATTAGACTTGGGCTTTTGTCCCAGTATTGCTTAAAATTGTAAGTATTCAGTGGTCTTGGGGGGTATTGGGAATTGATATTTAAGATATACAATACAATAATATAATACTAAAATAAAATCCTTGCATTACAATGGAAATTATGAACAATAGTAACAATGCATTCAGATAATTTGGTAACAGAAAAACACTAGGGGTCAGTTTTTAAAATTCGTTATTGTTGTCTACAGCAACCATACATTTCAGGGAATTCCTCCAATCCATCCATGCTTCTGTCATGGGAGTGGTGAAGATGGTGAGGATGATGAGGAAACATTGTTGCGCCACCCTGTATTTCCAGCCTGTCAGCGAGGCGTGGCGCCCCTTGCGGTGCGGAGGCCCGCCGCCTCCTTCATCGCCGAGCCGGCTGCATGAGTCCGCTGTGTGCGCAGGAGCCGCCATATTGTCATCTCAGGAGTACAGGAGGTAACTTAATTCGTGTAATTCACGTAAAAACCTACTGCCATATTTTACATTTTGTGCATGGTGGTGTGTGTTTTAATTTAATACTTGGGTTTATAGTTGTAAAAGTCGAGATACAGGGGAAATGTGAGGTAGTATCTGGCACATGAAATCCAGTCGGTTAGGGGTTTTTTTCCCCCCATGGCTGTAACTGCCGCTGTATTACGAGCAACCCGGAGCGGTAACAGTATCGCTACGCTTAGGCTCCGCTCTAGATGCCTGCAGTCACTCTGGTGTTAATCGGTAGTTTTATAAATGCCTTTTTAGATAGGTGGGGGGGGGGCATTGTGGTGCTGAGTTGTGAGCATGCCAAGCTGGGTAGCGGTGTGCGGTTTTCTTGCGGTCGAGGGGGACCGGTGATTGTCTGACTGGCCGGCCGGCCATCTGGATACCGGTGCTGCTTAAAAGGCAGGGGGTGGTTAGTAAAGTCATGAGGGGATGCAGAGCATGGATAAAGCGTGCAACCGTCATTACAGATGAGGAAACACAAGTAATCTCAGGGCTGCGGGGTCTCACCGTGGTGTGGGTTTGAACCAGCACCGTCCAACCCATCTCGGTTCGAATGGCTGCCTCTGGTTCCCGGTTACTTATGAGCGAGGTGTCTTCGTTTCCATTTTACTGACGGGCTGACTTGCCAGCTGCTTAGTGCCGTGGCTGGATGTCGAGAGTTCCTTTTTATCATTATAGTTATGTGTGGGTGCAAAAGAATCACTAGGTTAAATTAAAATGTTTACTTTCTCCCAGATATTTGTCAAATTGGGGTGCTTAGCTTCTGGTATGGTTCAGTATTTTAACCCCGTTAACCAATTATGAGCCCGGACCAGTAGCAAAGCCAGTTGGAGACCCCGATTGCCACAAACCGGTCCGTCTCCCCTCTCTCCTCTTTGGTTAGGAAAACCCCATGCTTGCGGCCTTTCAGCGGTGTGGTAGCATATGCTAGCTAGTTAGCCATTGAGCACCATCGGGACCATTTTCCACGTTTCCCTTTCTTTTCGCCGTGTGTAAGGCAATTCTGATACTGTTAACATCAGTCTTTTAGACTTAGCCGGATTAGAATAAGGACGTTTTTTCTCTCCTTTAATCTGTGCCTTCGCTTTGTAGCTAACTCCGTATCTTGGCCGTACCGCTAGCAAACCACATTCTATTTTAATGGATACTATATACTGGATATAAGAAGTAACTTAAAGCTGGATTTAAAAATATAAGCTGAGTCTGAACGTGTTCGATAAAGGTCTTTATTTAGGGTCGATTGCGGGTTGCACTTGAAAGGGAGGCTCCTTCGACAACATGTAAGCCTCTGGTCCTGTGTATGCACTTATTACCTTAAACTTTTTTAGCCTTCAGTGGTATTTTTTTTATTAGCGAATTAACATCTTTCTGGGTGCTTAATGCGGATACATATTTTAACCGGGAGCCTCTTAGGTGTTTAAACATTGAACGAGTTCTTATGATTGTTTGAGGGGCATAAAGTGCCTTCATTTCATATCCTATCAAATACTGATTGCATGATCCCTAACCTTGCTTTTTAGATGTAATTTGGTAATTTGGCTCTGTGGGAGCCTGAAATACAGTGCAAATTTTTTGTCACCTTTTCCTGTTTAACTGAAAAATATGCTTCACCTCCACAGTTACTAAGATAGAAACAGTGTGCCCAGTTTTAAATCACATTAAATACAGTGGAATGCCAAGCACATGCAAAATACCACTATTATCAGGTATTCACTTGTTCACTTGTCTCAAAAAGAACTTTGAGGTAGAAACTCAAGGACATAGCAGGTGTTTTTCTACAAGACATCATTATAGATGAGTTCTTAAACAATCCAGGAAAAAAATCCCAGTACATTATTAGAACTAACCATGAGAAAAACGGCTTTGTACAGGACACACTTTTGCTGGACAAGTCTGTGCTTTAGAGACATAAACAGATTTTAATTATGGAAAGTCTGAACCTTTATCAATAAAGGTACTGCAACTGAAGAAGTAAGTGTTTATTAAATTTTTTTAAAACTAAAATCAAGAGACGACACAAATGCAGGTTTCTATTTGAGAGCTAAATGCATTTTGGCTTGTCAGTTAAGTCAAATGGAATACTCCTGTGTGGCCATGATTCTTGAATCCTAGCTTGTGGTTTGGGTGATATCATACTCCCTATATTATGTTTTTTTTTTAAATTGTGTGATATGATTTCCTGATTATTTACCACACATTTAATTGGTTACCGTAACGGGACTATCTGCTCCCTTATTTTGGCTCGCGAGTTGGTCAGCCTGGTCGATACACCACATGTGTGCCAGAATCTGTTGGTGGATAGGTGAGAATGTGTATTACTGAGCCACACTGCTGTGCGTCCTCGAAAGGGGAACAGAACAAAATTATTTTTAAATATTGTGTTCTGAACAAAAAAACACTGAACACAGTATGTGGCTTGGAATTCTCCTTCAGTCTCGTACTAATGTAATGATCCCCAAGGAGAGTCAGCTGGAGATCGCAAGTCCGCTGCCCTCTGGCTCCAGATGGAAAATGTCAGTTAAGGGTAACGTGCCCTGCGATCCTGTCCAGGGTGTACCCCTGCCTTGTGCTCTAGCCTGCCCTGTCTCCTGTAACCCTGTCTTGTATAAGGAATTGAATGATAGGTGGGAAGCACAGACTGGTACTGATTCAAGCATGCTATCTCATGAGAGCTTGCATGGCAACTTCTGCAACTGGCAAGTTTTGCAATTTTAAATGAATGGTCCTAATTTACATCTTGTAGAAGCCATTTTGTCTTGCCCAATTCCTATGCTTTCATCTGTCAAGGCTTATGACACTTTATTCATACAGTATAGTATGCAAAGCTTTATCAGTTCTTGGGTGGTTTTAGAAGTGGAAACTCCAAAAACTGTGGGCAAACAACACATTTCTATTCAGTGTTTCAGTCACACACATTATAAATACTGGCTTGTAGTGATTTTCTATTAGTTTGTGAGTTGTTTAATCTTGTCTAGTCTTGTCAATTGTAATTGCAGCATACTCAAAATACATAAATATGCGTAATATATACATATAGTGAACCTGTGTCCATTGTGTGTCCATTGCAGATTGACAGCCCTGCTGCTTTTGTGTGTGTATTTTATGAGAAAAGCATTTAGCTGACAGATCAGCGATAAACATGCACATTGGCAGTCTGAAATCTCCTTTTCGTGGAGGTATGTTTTACGGTTATAATGTTAGAAGGATACGTTTACTGTTGGTGGGGTACAGAGGACCCTAAGGTAGGCACGTTAGAGGGATCAGTGCAAGTGGTGATTACCTTGTGACTTCATGTAGCCAAGAAGGCCACATTAAGGCATACTGTGGGCTAACTGCTATACGCAGATCAATCATTCCATCCACCCACCCACCCATTCTGGGTAGGCCTCCTGCACCCCAAATTCTCCTTTTAAAATTCTGTTCTCAGTAGTATGAGGATCTACTAATAGAAGGTTCTGCTTCTAGGTTCCATTACAAGGCAAGGCTATTTTTTTGGGGGGGGGGGGGGG